GATTTAAGTGGTCAGCAGTACATGTTAAGCCAAAACACTTTTAAAGACAAGAATTAATAAGTTTCTTGAATTTAATTTTAAAAAGGAAATGGTACAGTAAGTTCCAGAAACAGGGGAGGGATAGTTGGGCTGGATTTGGAAGTAGGTAGAAAAATGACGAGGATTAAGATTTGGAAGCAAATACTATAGTGGCATTAGTAAAGCAAACGTTAATCCTTTCTCTGTTTATTTGCATGTTATATACCTAGCTTTCTGTTTTCATCTATTTCTCTTGAGGTGCTCATTTTGTTAATTTCATGAAAAGCTTTGAGGAACTGGGCCAACAGTTGTCAAGGAATTTTTTTTTAATTATGCTTGATTTTAATACTTCAGATGTTTCAACAATAATTTGAATGGGGGAGATTGTTTCTCATTTTATTTTAAAGTTGTTTAGATGCTGAATTTGATTCTAGAACCTTCAGCTACCAAATAAGATGCACAATAAACTTATTCAGTACTGTTCTTGCGTAACAGCATGGTGGCAGAGAACTCCGGTGGCTTTTTTTCTTGCATATTCTGAGCCATTTTGTGGAGAAAACACACTAATACCACAATTATACTTGCCTGTTTAGAAGTAAATCTTGTTTAGTTCAATTATGTTTACTCCTTAAATATTAGGGATAGGATTACAAATGTTTCGTTCTGTTCTTGTGTACATTCAACTCATTTCCGACTTATGACCACCCTAAGGTGCCCCTACCATGGGAGTTACTTAGCAAGTTTCCTCAGAGGGGGGTTGCCAATGCCATCCTCTGAGGCTGAGAGTGAGTGAATTGTCCAAGGTCACTCAGTGGGTTTACATGGCCAAGCTGGGATTTGAACCCTGGTCTCTCAGAGTCATAGGCTATCGCTCAAACCACTACACCACACTGTCTCCAAGCGTAATAACATCATGTAACATTAGACTACAGAAAGGCCCCCTTTTGTTGGTCTGCTTCTGAAGAATATTTAGGAACTTTGATATATTTCAAAATGCATCTGCCAGAGTACTAACTACTATTTATCAAATGGCATACATAAACACATGTCTTGTTCAAACTTCATCATACCCTCCTACTGTCTCAATTTAACAGGGACAGTCCTGATTAATCCTATGTTGTCCTGTGTTTTCAGCTGTTTTAAAAATGTCCCAATTTCTTTCTCCTTCTCCCGCTTTTCATCTTTGTCCTAAGATTATTTCAGTTGCTGCAAACTTCATTGAAAGTGCAAACAGAGGAGATTTTCACATCAGGTTTAAAAACGGCTTACTTGAGCTGGCTTAAAATTAGATAATATCACACACATTTAGCCGTCGAGATCGCCACCTGGCTGCAGCCCGACTCCATCGTCACTCCAAAGGGTGCTCCAATGACCATTTTTTCAAGACGGAAAACTCCCAGCTTCAAAAAGGAGCACCCCTTGGAGCAGCGATGGAGTCGAACTGCAGCTGGGTGGCAATTTTGGATGGGTTCTGGGATTTTTGGATTAATTTTACTGTAGGGTATTGCATGCATGTCAATTTTAATGTTGTAAGCTGCCCCGATTGTTCTGCAAAAGAGCGGGATATAAATTTATTATTATTATTATTATCATCATTATCATCATCATTATCATTATCATTATTATCATTATTATCATTACCAGTGGGTTAGCATCCTGCATGACATCTGAGCAGCAGTCTGATTTTTAGAGCCAAAGGCAAGTTGTGTGGCCTGCACAGCTCTGTCTTGGTTGGAGGACAGAGGAGAATGCTTGCAGGCTCAGGGGCAACAAATAGGGGAGGGCAGTGATGGAGAACTTTTTATGTACCAAGTGCTCAAACTAAACAGCTTTTTGGCATGGGCTGTTACCCTGTACTGGACATGGGACTTCTAGCGGGAGTGGGACTTCTGGGGCAGGACTTCCACCCTATGGGGTGGGACATCTGGAACAGGACTTCTCCTTCCTCCCCTGCACTTTCTTGGGCCTTCAGCTGCCTCTCCGGGGGCACCTGAAGGCCTGGGACGGCCAGGAGGAGGAGGAAATGGAGTGCACTTTTTCCTCCTCTTCACCGCTCCATGTGCCAGGGAAAATGGTTTCACATGCCATCCCTGGCACG